ATTGAACATGATATACAAAATGTCAAGCCCATCAACTTTAATCAGCATGAGTTTTTGCTGCATCTCTTACATGAGTACAGAATGTTTCTACATTGTTGATAGATGGAGGCATAGAATCTGATGAAAAAAAAGATAAAAAAAAGCTTCACATCCAGAGAAAAACACACTGAAGAATAATTTTATATATAAGATCAAATAGACCTTTCCAACAATTGAACAACTATAGGAAAATCAAGCTCATAAGAAAAACCAATACTTATTTAACAGAAAACCATATGAAAAATGTTGTTGAAAAATATTTTAAAACACAAGGTTACACATACTGTATACTCAAGTATACCAGACAAGGGAAGAACTTTCATATCAGTGCATAGAAAATGAAATATTTGCACTTGGAAGTGTTACCATTCAACCATAAAATCACACTTTCAATTTAAAAATATGGGACTTTCTCCCAGAAATAAGAAAGCTTATTATTGTGAACCAATAAGGTTTTTTAACTGAGGGTCCACTGCATTCTAATGTATTTTTCTCAATGAATTGATTTTTTGTTATTGCTTTTTTTCATCAGTTATTTTGAGATTATTCCATCAGAATCAACAATAAAATAATTCCTGGAAAATTTTGTCAATTGGGAAGAAGGTGTTGTGGAAACTAAATTACAGTATAGCTCAAATGAAAATTGTATAATGAAAAAATTTTAGAAAAAAAATGAGGGACAGTAAATTAAAAAGGAAAATGTCTTGTTATTATTATTATTTAAAAAAAAAACAGACAATGCTGGCCTTGGCAGTGGCTGTGTCCTGCCTGATGTCCTGCTGCCTGGCACAGGAGGAGGCCAGCAGTGGCCAGGAAAAGGCGGCGGTGGCCCAGGACAAGTCTGACCTGGAAGGCGCCGAGTCTTACGGCGGAGGCGGCGGTTTCGGCGGCGGCTACAGCGGATTCGGAGGCTTCGGTGGCGGCTATGGCGGTTATGGCGGCTATGGCTACGGCCGCAGCTACGGTTACCCCATCTATGGTGATTTAAAAAAAATTGTATTTATATTTCGAAGATATTTCATCAAGATTATACTTTTTTTTAAACTCATCATTAAAATCAAGATACATTTTCACTGTCCATCATATAATTAATTTTTAGAACCTTTGACATATGAATGATTGTTGACAGAATAAATTATTGTCCAGGGTTCTTCTCTATAATTCAACTTTGATAGTACTCAAAAAATTCATAGAGATTTTTTGGCCTCAAAATGATTTTTTTTTTCATGGTTAAAAAAATGTGTGGAAATTTTTAAAAAAGACTAAAAAGCAAAAAAAAAATTTAGTAGATTAANTTCGGAATATATCCTATTTTTAGGCCTCAAACTTTTGCATGGATGATTTGACAGTATGATGACCTTCAAAATAAGGGCACAATCGACCAATCAATAACTCTTTTTTTTTAGAAAATCACCAAATTAATTTTTTTATGTTCCATTTCCTTTATTGCTAACCAAACAAACAGACAAGAAAGCGAGTTAATAAAAACGTGTTAATAATAATAAGATTTCTCCTGCAATATTATAAAGTGTCTGATGTTTAATCTCCAATTGAAGGTGGCTACGGAGGTGGTTATGGAGGCTACGGCGGTTATGGCGGCGGATATGGCGGCTATGGAAGCTACGGCGGCTATGGCGGCTACGGCGGCTATGGTGGTATCTATGGACGCGGCTACGGCGGCTACGGAGGCGGCTTTGGCTGGTGAAAAACGAAAAAGGATTAAATGTCCATCGAGAAAGACCAAGTGCTTTATTTTCCCCAAGTCCACAAAAAGCTGTGTGTTGTCAACATCATCAGATGGTCTCTGATATGGATTTATACCAGAAATTTTCTATAGAATGGGCAGATGAATAAAGTGTTGCATAGAAAATATGGAAAGCCTTCTTCCAACCATCACTGCCAAAAGTCCCTTGCCAATTTGTGCTCTGAACCAAGCTGTTCAATGTTGAAAGCTTTTATGTTTGTGTTTTTATGGGATTTTTTAATACCTTTTTGTCAGTGATTTTCCTTCTGTCATTGTTCCTTATTTTGGAAATACAAACAATTTTCTTGCAAGTAGAGAAAGCCTGACATTCTTTACACATACATTAGTTCTACAACAATTCACAATACTGATGTATAAGCTATAGGAGTCCTTTGAATGTCACAAGAATAAATACAACTAGTGCTGCTTGATGTCAGGTTGATCACAGCAGTGATTGGATCTATGCTGAACCTTCTCTTTTTGTTCCCATTTTTATATTATTATCTGCATATCCTCTAAAATGTTCCTGTTTCTATGGGGTGGACCAGAAAAGTGAAACAATTTTTCAATTACAAAATCTCAGTAATGTATAGCAAATCAAGCTGCAGCAATGAAAAAAACACCACATGAAAGCTTGTTCTATATTATCTCTCAAATTGTAAGCAGTTTATTTGATTCCAAATGCCATGGCTTGGTAAGAAAAACCCTTTGAATGACTATTTTCACAAAAAAATAATGTTTTCAGTCAACACTTTCCACAATAATAAGCTGCCATATTCCAGAGCTGTTTTTAGGGATAAATGGGGTGCAGGACGAATAATTTGAGCAGCAAACCAAGAGGGTGTATTGACACATGACCAAAAATTAGGAGGTGAAGGGGAGGAGAGATGTGCAAAAGCAAATTGCGGAATGATGGGAGCATTTGTTCCAATAAAGGACTTCCAGCTCTGCGTGCTGGGCTGCAAGCTCTATGTTTTAGGTCTAGTAACGACACCTACAGGACACGTTCAAAGTAAAAGGAACAGTGTTCCGACATTTGCCGATTTTGGATGGGCGCTTCTACGAGGCGTCCGCGGGAAAGCCCGGCGACCGGTATTTGGATCCCACGTCGATAAATTCGGATTGAAGTACAGTCTGTGGAAAGATGTCCGAGTTAGTGAGAGATGTGAAGAAGTGTAAAAATTCCGCATTTCGTGTCCCTGGGGGTACACAAAAGGGGTCGGAGACGATGATCGAAACCTTTGTGTGTATGTGATCTCAGGATCGATAAGTGTACTTGGGGAAGCATGTTGTCATCCTCGAATTTTGATGTGATTTCGTATCGGTGTATTGATCAGATTCGCGCGGTGACGTCAGTTGAGTTGTGATGGACCTTTACGTTACATTGATTTGTTTTCTGAATCCTCGGCTCGCGCGGGAATTCTAGCTGAGGATTCCCCGTGAATTCCTGTTGCTGAACTGCGAAGAAACTCGGTTTTTTGTCGTTCTTCGATGTAAATCTTTTTTTTTTCCGGACATATATTTTCAGACCCAGTGCTTGTGTGATACTTGCGTTTTCTTGTTTTGCCGAAACTTCGTGGAATTTTCAGCGATCAACATGGGCAATCCTAAGGTACGTTTTGACTAAGTTCAACACTCGCCTATAGACAGCACTTAATCCCCTAAAACTGCTCATGAACGCAGTGGCCTATTTCCAAGATGCCCGTGTCTAGTACAGGTATTTGTCGTATGCAATGTATGAACGTGGCTACTATGGTTAGATATATTAATGCGTCAGATTTTTGCCGACTAGTCCCGAAGGCCTCCTTTGTCGGTCGGAAATTCTGAGATCGACCCTCCTGGGACGCAGTTCCTGCGGTTGCTCTCCGTAAACTGTGCTTGTATAGCTGTGTGATGTCATGTTTTGAATGCGTATATTTCATTCCGAAGGTTTTCTTCGACATGACCGCCAATGGTGCTCCCGTTGGTCGTATCGTCATGGAAATCCGTGCCGACGTGGTCCCGAAAACCGCAGAGAACTTCCGTGCTCTCTGCACCGGCGAGAAGGGATTCGGTTACAAGGGCTGCACATTCCATCGCGTCATTCCGGATTTCATGTGCCAAGGCGGAGACTTTACCAATCACAATGGCACTGGTGGCAAGTCCATCTACGGCGAAAAATTCGAAGACGAGAACTTCACTCTGAAGCACACTGGACCCGGAATGCTCTCCATGGCCAATGCCGGGAAGAACACGAATGGATCGCAGTTCTTCTTGACCACTGTCAAGACTCCGTGGTTGGATGGAAAACACGTTGTGTTCGGTTCCGTCATTGAAGGCATGGATATCGTGAAGAAGATCGAGGGCCTCGGGTCCCAGTCTGGGAAGACCAGCAAGAAGGTCGTTATTGCTGACTGCGGCCAACTCTAAAGAAGATCATCGTGTGTTTTTCTGTGTGTGGCAAGCTCCTATTCACGTTCTCTTTTTTCATCGATTCTTAGCCGTCTGAAAGTAACTCTCGGAAGAAAAATTCACGCGCATTCCGCGTTCCATTCCCTCTCCATCTTCGACTATCGGAACAAATTGACGAGCGTTGTTCATGATGATCTTTGTTCGTGTCTCTCATTGGTGTCACATTGACAGTCGAAGAGGCTAATGAAAGAGAAGGGCTCTTACCTCCTGGAAATGAGTTTCTTCATTTGATTTTGTCATCACAGTGATGCCTCAATTTTGGAACTTTTTTCTTTTCTGCAAGTACGCAAGTATTTCTGTATTCACTCAAGTACCATGCACCCTTGAGCAAGACTTGCACCTTGATTCTTGATGCAAAATGCATGAGTCGAGCATCCCTTCTTTTATGTGAAGTTGAAATTATTGTCATTTTTCCCTTTTTAATTTGTTGCAAAATAATCCTATGATTGAAGAAAAGAGATAGAACATTGATGCAAAATTAAAACCAAATCTCATTTCTAATCAATTGTATTCACGTAATAAGTTCTGACCTACACTATGGTTAAATGATTTTTTTTCAATTCTCCAAGTTTATCCCTGCATATCATTTGCACTTCACTTTTCTGTCTTGATTTTCCAGGAATAAAAGGTGTGCGTGGTACTTGTGTAAATTCTGTGCCGTACTTGAAAATGGTACTGAAGAGATAATGTTCACAGGTGATGTTCATGAGCTGTGAAATTATCAAGAAATGACGGAAGTTCAGAATTGGGGTAACAACTGCTTCAATGATTTCATTCTATTTATTTCCTTTGTTTTTAAAAACTCCGCAGGTAGAATTGTCATTAGTGATGACAAATCGCTTGAATGTAGCGGAGAATGGTCCTGATGAGGCCTGGTTTCGGGAGCTTTCCGAGATTCTGAAAGGTGATCAGCCTGCTGATGTTCTTTCAAAGCTTGTGGACAGGATTAATATTTCAAAGCTTGGAGATGCAACTTCAAGGTTGTTCCATAGTTTGAGTGATGAGAATGATCCTGGCTGTAGACTACGTCACGTTGTAAGTAAAGATTTCTGAGTTTTCTGCATCGGTTTTATTTGGGGTTTCCCATAATACACTTGCAGGTTAAACGTAGAGATGAGGTTTCTGTCGATTGAGGCACCTGTAGCTCCCTGGAGCAGAAACTTCTGGAACTATATTGATCAGGAACCGCCTTAAATATAAACCTAACAAACCCACTTGACCTGGACGACGAATTTTTTTGGAAAAAATTCAAAAAAGATATTCAATGGAGAGAATTGCTGACAGAATGCATTGTTTCTAAAGGAATTCAGACAGGGACTTCATAAAAAATTTGTCATATGGAGGTTTGAGTTGTCGAGGTTGAACTGTAGTAGAACAATCCAATTTTTAAAATTATAGTCAAGCTTATCAGAAAAAAATCCTTGATTTTGGCTTCGGGATAATTGAGCAAGTATAAATGTCGCGAATTGTAAGTTTTCGAAAGCTCGTGAACTCGAACAAAATTATTCGAATGCCCCAGTTGAACCTATTAACGCGTCTCAGTTGTCGAAAATTTTCAAAACAATCGACAAGAGTCGACTTTTCGAAAATTTCAAGAAGTACTTATGTGATCTATTTTCTGTGTCAACGAAAATAATAACCTAAAGGGCCTCCAGGAGGTAGCGGGGATTTTAATCATGCACGGTTTCCAAAAAGGGAATTCAGACAGGGACTTGAAGAAAAGTTCGACATGAGGAATGATTCGACTTGAGATTTTAGTTGTGGAGGTTCATGATAAAAAACCTTGGACTATCCTCTTCATCTTGGCCTGATTCCGTTTTCGCAACGAAAACTTTCTTCGCTGTTCAGGTTTTCACTTCCATCTTGAATCGGTTGAAACAGTCGTCACCGCGACAATCTTCGGACGCTGTCGTTTGTGCTGTCCAATTCTCCGCCGAGTCCTTTCCTCCACTGCTTTTAGTAAAAGCCATCAAAGACTTAACCAACTGGATCATCAACGGATCAGCGGATCCGAACGTTGGTCAATGGCTAGAAGTGTTCCCCAAGCTTCTCTCGCTCATCTCGGAAGAAACCTCGGTTCCAGACGGTCCCGACAGGATCAAGGGCTCGGACTATCTTCGGAAAGTCGTGTGCATGATCACGAGCGAATCCTGGGCACAATCGCAAGCAGTGAGGATATCTTCGGCTCTTTTGGAACTGGATTTGATGCCGGATGAGACGAATGCGGTTACGAAGAAGCTCGAGCATTGTTTGATCGGGGCGAGTTTGCAAGACTTGCCTGCGATTGCGATGCGATTGATAACGACTGAGAATTACTCGAGGACCCAGACTCTGTTGCATTTGTTGTCGTCTACGTTTGCGTCTCGACTGAATGATTCTATTCGGGATACGCCGGATAATCCAGGTGAAGATCTGCTGTGTGTGTGATCCATGAGTTGTTTAATTTCTGATCATTCCTCCTGGGATGAAGTGTACAGCAATAATTCTTTGTGTCGTGTCGTTGGCGACGATCGAGTGCTTACAGTGACTTATTGTGCGCATTGGAGAACGAGAGATTTTATAACGAGGTTATTTTTGATGCGAACTTCGCTCAATTCGGTTTACTGAAGCGTCTGTGTCTAATCAAAAAGATGACTCTTGAATTACAGTAAGTGGAATGACTTTTCGGTTTGAAAAAAGACGTTCAGCAATGGGTAATTAATCACCGATTTCTTGAAAACTTCCTTCATGAATTCTCAAATGAATTCTTCTCCTGTTGATGTCGATGAATACAAAGTTCCGGCTTCAGTGTACAGTACTCTTCTTGAATTTCTTTACGGAATGCGAAGGACATTTTGAAACACTTCTTGTTTCCTTTCTTGAACATCTGAAAACTTATCTTTGCTACGAAAATTTGTGAAATTGTTTCGGATTTTATTGTCAAACCTCGATAAAAGATGTCTTACGGGGTCGGCGGTTTACCAAAAAAAATAATTATAATAATGATACGAAAATCAAGTATGAAAATAAATTCAATTCCTATTCTTATAGAAAACAATCAAAATGACCGTGGAATACGTGAATTGTATCTAGTTAATGTTCGCGAGAAGTAAATTGTGATATTTTTTCCAATTGGTGACCTCTCGAAGAAACTTAAATCTTGTTGGCGTTCTATCGAAGACTAAATTAATTCGCTGGCGCATATTTCAATTGTCTATAATTTTGGCAAATGGCGTTTTATCGACATTTCCGATGCTATTATCACGTGATGACGCGAGTGAGTTTCATGTGCTTATTTTGTTGTTTCTTTATTTTCTCAAGAAACCATCAGCCTCGCGACAACATCGACTGCAGAGGAACGAGAGATCCAAGAATGCATCGGTACTATGGTCCTCCAAGTGTGCTCTTTAGTCGATGGTCCAGTCGGCGATGAATTGGTGAAATTATCCAAAGATAGCTGCCTGTTCCCAGCATCCATCCTCACACCTTTTACACTGTCCCTGTTTGTCGCTATGGCGATGAAGGAGAAGTATTCTTGCATCCTGGAGAACATCGTCGCTGCTTTCGTAGCTCATTTCGCGTTGATCGAGCAGATGAAAGACCACGTCGGGATGCGAGAACTCGGTGGAAAAGTGGACTGGAATCCCACGAAAGTCGTCAGAGAGGCTGTTGAAATTGGTGTGAAAGGGATATCTTCTGTTTTGTTTTTTCAGAAACCGGAGCATAATTTTTTTTTTTTTTTTTTCAATTTTCGCAGGAGAACGAGCGGGTTGCGAGCCGATAGAACAAGGTCTGTTGTCTTTGGCGTTCGCGTTGGTGAAAAGTGCTGGGAAGGAGGATGCTGCTGCAGCCTTTGGTGCTTCCCAGTTGGCAACTGAGATACTCGTCAGACTCGTCAAGAGAGAGTCCACGTCGACGGTGCTGAGTACTTTTTCGTACCTCATCAGTACTTCGGCGAACCAACGACTGCTTGCTGGTGAGTGCTAATTATGTAGTCGATTTCTCTTGGGACTACGACCACGATGTGTCAGAGATTTTTCTTCAAAATTGAACGATAAGTAATTTCTTTCACTGAAAACAAAATCAATTTACGGAGGTTTTGAGTGAGGGCAGAAAAGATGAATTGCAGGAAATTTAATTTGTGATATTTCTGAGCTCTAATCTTGCGTCTTGGACGAGTTGACAGGATGCTGAAGTTGAAGTCAAGGTTTCTTTTTGCCAAATTAGTCTTTTCACTTCCTTTCAAGAATGCGTCGAGTTCCATTTTTTTTGCTTTTCTCTCTTCACAGTACATGTGCATTGACTTTTTTTTGGATTTATTTTCTCGTTCAGACGTGTTTTCCAGGTTGGTCAAGAGTGCGGGTCGATCCCTGATAACGAACGGAATAGGGGAACTCAAATCGCTTTGTTTGAAATTGGGGAAGCTGCCTTTGTCTGTTGCCTACTCCGTGATGCACGCATTAGCGGGTCTGTTGAAATTCTCCCAACCACTCAAGGATGCTTACATCATCGCATTGAAGAAGACTCTGTTTTCAAAGTGAGTCTCGATGAGGAAATTTAATTCCTGTGGTTTATCAAATGCATGAAAATGTTTCCCGTCTCGTCACGGTACCCAACCAAAAGCCCCACCTAGGTCAGAAGCCCCCCAAATCAACTTCAACAGTGACCTAGGATCCTCTTCCTCACTGTCACTGATGCTCTCCATGTCATTTTCTTCTAAATAGCCATTGTAGTACTGTATGCAATTTGACCGCCCTTCTAATTTCTGATGATCTGAAGTGCACCAGCCATTGACAGTCTACAAGGTGAACTGTAGATTTTGCAGAAGTCAGCAAGTGATGATGCTTTGACATTCAAAGAATCACTGATGACCACTGTAGGTGAAGAATCCCTTTATATACTCAACTTACCTACATTTTGGTACTTGGCCTTGTGCTGGGCCTGCTGGTGAAAGGTGCAGCTTGCCATCAAGAGTTACAAGAATACCTGGTGAAAGGTTCAGCTTACCATCAAGATTTACAAGAATACCTGTAATCCCCAATTTTTGCGCCAAGTGGGGCTTTTGACCTACGGGGGGCTTTTGTACTAGAATTTTCTGAAGGCCCTTTGGCCATTATTTTATTGACGCAGGAAAAAGAGAATCACTAAAAATTACATTTCAAGTGTTTTGAAAGGAAGTGAAAGATTAATTGGACAAATAAACCCTTGCCTCCTATTACAGTATCCTGTCAATTAATTTAAGGAGCAATTCAATGCTGCTCATAATATCACCAATTATAATTTCTATCTTTTCTCAACACAAATCCTTTCTTCCCTAATTCGAAATTTCCATATTATCGAATTTTTTTTTTTCCTTTGGAATGTGACTTTTGCCTAAATTTCTTGGTGGTCTGTATATTTAAAACTCGCGTTGTTCAATTGATTAGTTTGATGCTTTCTGCTTATTTCAAAAACGAAAAATACTAGCTTTTAATTATCCTCAATACTGTATAGGCACAAGAATGATAGACTAGTCGGAGTTTCCGGCATACTCATGCTCGTGGAGAACTGCAAGATTTTCGGCACCTCCAGAGGCCTTTCCACTACTCAAGACGTCAATTTCTCTTTGACTCAACAAGTGAGACATTCTGAATACTTCATTTGAATTTGATTCCCCGTCCCCGTAGAATAAAGGTTAATTCAGCGGAACCTCGACCCTGACGCACGGAAGATTCGACTCCCGGACACGAAAGAGAGATCCAGACAGTGTCTCGAGGTGCAGACACTTCTGCGCCGCTATTTCTGGAAAATGGAAGAATTTTTTTATTTAAAAATTTTGGTGTCTCCTGAGTATTGAACAAATTAAGCTGCTGTATTTTTATTTCCAAAAATTGAAATGAGTTCATGGTAAGTTTATTGTGATAGTCTAATTCACACTCAAAATTAGGCTAATTTTTTGCTTCTCAATTCAAAGTTTTTTTTCTGTCATACTCGTTTTTGCACAGTATAACAGTACAGAATTTGTGCTTGTTACTTGGTCTTTGAGCTCCTTTTAATGCCAAAAGATCAGATCCTGTGTGGTTTTCTTCTGCGCAGTTATTTTCTGTATCTTGAAGTTGATTAAATGTTTTTCAATTTTTGGGGGGACTCTTTCCCAATTTTTTGTGAAAGAGGAGAACCAGTTGAATATTGAAGTGTGTGGGATTGACTTGTGGACAATCCATGATGAAGGAGCAAGGTCCAAGCACCAATTATGTCCGCATCTCGGGGCCCCGTTCTACATTATTCATTTTTATTTCATTATTTATTTTTACATTTTTTTTTTAAGGTGAACGACGTCTTTGCGAGACCGACGCAGTTCGGAGCATCGAAGCAAGAAGCCGCAGTGATTTTAGTACGAGATGCCTTGTTTACACTCAGAATTTGCCTGTCGCAAAAGGCTGAAGTGAAGGAAATTCTCTACCGAGGTCTAACTGAAGCTGTGCGAAAAAATCCAGAGCTTGGCAAATACGTGCTGAACTTCGTTCTGCCGACCTTGAAGAAATATGTCGTCGATGCTGATGAGGATCCGGACGGACGGGTTAGTTTCTTGTTGGAGATACAGTACTTTTTTGTTTGTTTTTTTTTTTTTTTGAAAACGTGGATTACTCATTCTGAATACTGTTGGCACTTCTTTTCAAAATGCTTTGTAGTTGATGCAGATTAGCTGAAACAGCTGGTTTGAGTTCTAGTCTAGAGGCTACGGTTTTTGAGATCTTGAATGGTCTTAGTCCCGTAGATTGGAAATATTTTTGTTGGACAGGTGACATCTGCCCTGATTCATATGCTACCCGTGGTATGCAAAAGGTTCCGAGTTGTAGTTCTCGTTAAAATACTGTGAATGGTGTTGACCTTATTTTGTGTCAATTTGGCTTCAATTAGGTTAACATGGGATTATTTCCTTTATGCTGTATTAAATTTACATATTTATAGTATTAAATCTGATGGAGAAGAGCTGAACCAGGTGCTTTGAGTTCTAGTCTACAAAGTGTTATCCCAAGCTGTCTGATAAAGCCCAGAATCTAGAATATGTCTTATTCTAGAATTAGTCTTATGGCTGGGGTAAAGCAAGTAGAGATTACTTCTCTTATAAGTATAAGAAGTAATCTCTACTTGCTTTACCATAAGACTAATACTTCTTTACTTGAGCTATCTCAACAAGTATCCATTGGACAGACTAAAGAATTATAAAGCAAAGGAGACGTTCAATGCATAAATCTAGATTCTGGGCTTTATCAGACAGTTTGGGTACAAGTATGTACATTTCAGATATTTGCAACAATGCAGACCAAACCAGCAATGAGCCCCAAAAGAGTGTTTGGACACTCGTTTTACAGATCATGGATGCACAAGACAGGTGACTGGCTGCGCATAAACAGAAATGAACAGAAAGTAAACTGGGAAATGTGCATGACTGGTCACCAGACACTGTTGCAATGTTCCAGTACACGAATTCTGGTGCATTGCTATTCAAGCCACAAGAACACAAAAGTCAATGCAAGAACAGGGTATTATTAACCTGTTCAAGGACTCACTTAAAATATGATTACAAGAAGCTATTGTAACTTTCAAAATAGGAAAATAAGTTTTAACTTTTCATTATCTCTAGTCTTTGCCAGAAATGGTGTTCATCAAAAATCTTTCATCTTTGAAATGGATAAGGAAATGTATCAATTGTTTTGTTTCTTATCTTTTTTTGCTTGTGATTGAGTTCATTCATCTGTAGCTTTTTCTTGGCTGATATAGAATAATGAGATTTATCTCATTAGGAATCTTGCTTATTTGATGAAATTGTTTTTCTATTTTTCACCTAGCGTCTCTTTTTGGGAAGGATTTTTCAACTTTGGAAAATTGTTGCTGTGAGCTTTTACAATATTTGTTCATAGAAATACTTTTTTTTTTAAGTGAAAGTCGTTGGGGATGCATTTTTGTGGTGCAAAAATTGCACAGAATTCTTCTTGTCCACCCTCTATATGCAATAATTTCGAATTTTTGTTCTTGAAAGAATTTTAGCATTTTTTCAGAACCGTTGGAGGCCTGTGGTATTTCTCTGATGTCCGTTTTTAAAGCTTTGCCTTTTGGATTCTGAAAAATGAACTTGAATTATTCGAAAGCTGCATTTACTTTCTTTTTTTTCCCCCTTTAGAGAGGCAGTCAAGCATTTCCTCCGTTCGACGTGAATGCTTGCATAGTTCCAGTGCGCGACGAAGGATTCGCCCTCTTGGAACCCGTCGGCGACCTCTTAACGTTAGTCGCTGAATGCGTTTCCTGCGAAGGCGGCAACGCGGAGAATTTCACAGCCAGAACCTCGGTGAACGTGGAAAATGCTCAGAAGCTGGTGGGAAACGTTTCGGGGGCGTACGCGGAGGCGGACGTGACCAAATTGATCCCGGATGACGCCGACTTGAGTCCTTACACCAACGGCGGACAGTTTAATGTGATTAAAGCTAGATTGCAGCTCGGGGTCCTGGAGGCCTTAATTCAGGCAAGTTACGGGATGGAATAAAGTGCAGTAGAAATCTTGTTACAACCAACTATGCCGCCGGGGACGTGAGAAAGAACTTTTGTCAAAATGAGATGAGTTACTTGGGTCTTTTGAGCATGTATAGGACTGAACTTTCTTGGGGAGTAGGAAAGAAATTCTTGAAATGCTTCCAAAACAGATTCAGGTGGTCTTTCTCTCTCTCTCTCTCTCCAATGAAATTCAAGTGATCAGAAACAAAATTCGTTGTGGAGAGAATTTCGTTGTAGAGAACCCACATAACGTGAGAAGGTGAATCAATGGGACAAAAACAAAAATTCATTTCACGGAAAATTGTTTATAGAGAGAGTCCACTTTTGTATGAAGAATTGCTGTCATTTCCAACATCTTTTCATGAAATACTGTTCTTGAGAAAATTAAAAATACGATTCTATAATTTCAGACCTTCTCTCTCTTGAATATCATGAAAAGACTGTATCTACTGATTTTACTAAGGTGTACGTTTGAAATAACGAACAGAAAATGCGTGCTTATGAAGAGTTTTTATTATTGTTTGACAACTGATTTATGTTTTCTGAAATTGATCAGTTCCCTTTCAAACAAAATGTTTTGAAACAATTGATCATTTTTGGTTCCAGAATGAAGAATACATTTTGTTTATAGCTTGATACTTCCTGAAAGGCCAAATTTCATGTATAAAATGACTAGCATTCGTATTTTTGGAGGTTTTTCAATTATCGACGCATTGGCTTTTACCGTCCATTTTGTCAATTATGAAAATTGTAAATGGCGCATGTACACATAATCTGGCGAAAATTCGCTGTACAGAGATTATACAAGAACTTAGTCACTTTTAACCACATTTTTTTAACATTGTCCCTATGATGAAAAGACCAAGAAAAAATTTATTATACCGAAAAATTCGGTGTCACGAGAATTAAACTGTACAGCGAAATTCCGTTACAACAACTTTTTTCTGTGTGCTTCATGTTCCAAACAAATGTGTTTCAGGTCGTGTGGAAGGAAGCCGGAGGTGCAGCACTTTCCACGCAGTCGGCATTAGAAATCTTGGAGTACTTCAAGCTGCACAGTAAAGTACACGACAAATTGCTGGAAAAGGAAAAATCGGGGGCAAAGGCGAAGAAAAATGCTCAACCTCAAAATAGTCAGGATACCGAAAGAAAAGCTGTTCTCAGACTCCGTCCCTACGAATTCTCCTTTTCTGCGCATTTTCTGGAATCCTGCCTCTGCGCACTTTTCGGGTAATTTTCGCTGTTTAATTTGGAAATTTTTGAATGCAAATGAGATTTATTGCCTTCTCCGCTTATTTCCAAGTATTTTATTCGGAGACTTCGAACCGTAGGATCCTCCGAAAGGCGCCTACAAATAAATTTTTCCTCGTTTTAACGTCAAGTATCTTCTATTCTTCGTGGTTTTCTTCATAATGAAGCTAGATGTCGCCTAAACTTTGGTATCTCTCATTAGTTCTTACGGTGAGACCCTGAGATGCGGACATAATTGGTGCATCAAGAGTGTCCCCAAGTCAAAATGTCCCAAAGTTGAGTCTTGTTTTCCCATAGACTTACATTATATAATTTTTAATTAGTGTTTTTTGCAAGAAACATTCTTCAGAATTTCCTGAAAAAAATTGTTTCCTACTTGAATTTGAATTATTGAGAGAAATGCCCAAGAACTTTTCTTACATCAACTTTAGGGTTGGAAATATCTGTTTCTTGTAATTTGGCCTGAAATGAATTAGCAATTTTATCAGAAAATGTCTTTATGTTGAGTCAGTGTCCTCATGTCAAGCCTTATTTATTGATTTTTTCTGGGAAAATAAGTGTCCTTATGTCAAATTGTCCACAGGTCAAGGTGTCCGCATGTGGGGGTCTCACTGTATTTGTTAAATTCAATTAGACAAGTGATTCAGGCGACATCTGTCTTGAATGCCTGAAAATGAAATCGGGGATCAAATCAGGAAGATGAGGCAAATTATTCAACTTCATTAATATGCGAAGCAATTCGTTCTGTCGTTTATTTGTGTTAATGACGCTCTCGGAGACCCTGTAATTAGGATTAGTATTTTTTTTCGAATGCTTGTGAATTCAATTTTAACAAGAGCATGGGATATCATTTTTTTTTCTAGCGATGATGACCCCGATCACATGGAAGGTCTGCCGAAATTACGCGCGGATCCGGGTTTCGTTTGCACAATTCTGTCTGCTTGGCAAGAGAAGCTGAGTTGTCAGCCCGGTTGTCAAATGCTCAAGATTCCCGTTTTGCAGAGCATAGGCAAAGTTCTTTTGTCCCATTGCGACGATTTGTACGCGTCAACTGAGGACTCGGATCGCAACGAAGTTGCCATGAGTTTGGAGTGTTTGGGTCTGGCGATGAAACTGGTGCAAGACGTTCATCCGCAGAAATTCTGGACGCACCTTTGCGTCATTGGTCAGTGATTCATTTTTAACATTGTATTTTATGCACGACGATTATTATTTTTCGTTTGTTTTCTTGAGCGGTTCAAGTCCTCGAGAAGATATTTAAATTTGTTCTACACCAAAATTGTCAGGCGAACTTGTATCTCTCATTTCCATGGAAGAAAATCTGGCTTCGGCATGTTCACATGAAATCTCTGAAATTTGAAATTAAATTATATGTGCATGCAATTAATTAATTTTTTCATATTCGAACACGAAATTATTTTTTTGAGGAGTGGTGCGAAATATTCTCTGATTCATTGGATACAATTACCTTGAAATTGTTGAAAATTTATCTTTCCCTGAGAATAAGTTCATTTTTGTGAGCAAATACAATACAATACAGAAAAATTCCAATTACAGTACTTTAAAAATTTAGAAGTCATCCGGAAATGTTTCTGAGTGCATGTTTTATTGGTGAACATGGATTAAACCCTGAGATTTATTACGAAAATAATTGCGCGTGAAATAACGTTCAAGTGGATTTTGAATTGCATTTTGTCGAAGAGAAGGAGCGCATTTCACTGTATTTACGCTGTATTAATTTTTTGATCCGGGGTAACTCTTCACCTACATTGAAAGCAGGAATGAATTTATGTATTTACGTCCAGATCACTTTCCTCTTTTCGGCTCAAAGGCTTGAAAAGTTGAGAGGCTGCTTAAAATTTACGGAATTTTTTTATTCTAAATTTTATTCTAAATATATAATATTATATTAGATATTATATTTTTTTATTCTAAGGCATTTTCGCGTTCTATTTTTAGCTGGAAGTCCTCCTCCACAGACGGATAGAAACGGACAGGAGATCCGAAGCTCAAAGTTGTTGCTGGATACTGCGAAAATTCAGTGTCAAGTTTTTAAAAAAGTTGTAGGAAACGTGCTGGACGATGATGAGAAAGTGGCTGGTAGAGCCGTGGCGCCAGCATTGAATCTCATCACTGCTCTATGCCGCCTAACCTGTGAATTTGAAACCGAATTCACGAAACAGGTTTGTTTTTTGAATGATGTATCCTTTCAAATTTTCCAAAAATTCACTCCCCAAAACATTTTTTGTCGGCTGTATAATTCCTAGTTTTTTTAATCTCTGCGACGCTCTTCTGACAAATTGTTGCGTATAGACTTTTGTCCGTTGAGAATCAAAGATTAAAAAAAAATATGTCTTCATTGTTTGTTTGTTTTTTTACTGTGTGAAAATTTATGCAGTTTTTTGAATTCTCATTGGAATTAAAGGAGTTGAATTGGCATTGCTCAGAGATTATTTTTCTGTGATTTGGTAAAAATAATGCAGTTTTTCCTCTTGCAGTTGTATGAATTGTGACTGCAATATAAACAGCACTTTGGAGTGTTCCCTTGTTACTTCACATTCCATTCCAAATTGTTACCTTTGGTGCGCACCACACCCTACATTCCTCCATTATTCTAAATACATTTTCAGATTGTTGTCTTGAATTGATGGAAATAAAATTTAAATTGGGAATCGTTCAATCAGACAATTCTTACAATTGTTTAGTTCTATCAGCCATTGACTGTTGTTGAAGATTCAAATTGTTTTCTGCATGTTTTTGAAGAATACATAGAATACTTAAAATATATTTATATAAGTGTTTTATTCTGTATACACAGTTTGGAATCAGTATTAATTTGGAGCAAAGCAACAACAAGGTTTTTGTGGCAGCATTTGGTCAGAGTAAACTTAACATATGATAGAAGACACTCATATATGTGGAGAATCTGGATTGGAGGTCAGCTTTGAGCATAGCAACCAACTTGGATTGGTGTCAACATACGAGGGTTCTAACAAAAGTTCTCGGAATGAAAATTAAGATGGCGTCTAATCGAGCTGGAAAAAAATTATCCTTTAGGGCAACCATATTCTTTGGCACAAAAAAAAATCAGCCCAGTTTGACAATTTTTTTCAATTTTTTGCAAAATTTACCCTGGCAGAGTTTTGCTATACACTCAACAGATGAGGCACCCTTCCTGCAGCTTCTTTTTTTCTGTGGCCCAGTTTCCCCCTCAGAATTCTTGAAATCAACTTGGCATTTTCTCTAAGGGTTGCCTCCAAGTCATCTAAGGCAATTCCGCCATTTTCATTGACAGCCGCCATCACAGCCGCCACTTTTGAGCTGGAAAAAAAGTGGCCGCCACTTTGGCGGCTGTGATGGCGGCTGTCAATGAAAATGGCTTAATTGCCTTAGATGACTTGGAGGCAACCCTTAGAGAAAATGCCAAGTTTATTTCAAGAATTCTGAGGGGGAAACTGGGCCACAGAAAAAAAAAACTGCAGGAAGGGTGCCTCATCTGTTGAGTGTATAGCAAAACTCTGCCAGGGTAAATTTTGCAAAAAATTGAAAAAAATTGTCAAACTGGGCTGATTTTTTTTGTGCCAAAGAATATGGTTGCCCTAAAGAATAATTTTTTTCCAGCTTGATTAGACGCCATCTTCATTTTCATTCCGAGAACTTTTGTTAGAACCCTCGTACTTGGTTGCACAGGTAACCAAAGGAAGGACAAACAGCATAGAAAAGCATCTTTTAAATAATAGAAGGAAAAGGCGCAGTTGCGCAGCAATCTTAACAATGTGGAATGGGATGTGAACCAAACAAGGGAATATTCTAAAGTGCTGTATATATAGTAGTCATGTTATTATTTGACTACAAAATCATTCTCCTTTCCTTTGTTTGCTGCGGTCAAATTATGTTGACACCAACCCAAGTTGGTTGCTATGCCAAATGCCAACCTCAATTGCATGAATCTATAATTACAAGTGTCTCCTATGTTGAGGTAAGCTTACTGTTACCAGGCTTTGCTGCAAAACCTTGTCCATGTTGCTCTGCTCTGCAATACATACTCTATCCCTGTGTGGATATAATTAGATGAAACACTTGTATGAAACCTCTCTTTGGAGTACTTTATTCTTTGAAAGCTTGCAGAAGAAAATTAAAATCTCTGAATTGAACTATTTCACTGACAGAAGTTCTGTTGCCTGATCAGAAATTTTGAGATACAATTGAATTTGTTCATACCAGGTAAGACAAAACTCTTTTGTGTTGTTGACTCAAATTTTTTTTGATTCTCTAATTTCAAATCGTAATTCAAGGAATAAAATGGGCCACGTTCAGAGTTTTACATTGAGCATTTTGAAAAATCAGGTATTTTGCAGACTTTTTTTGGTTGTTGACTCCAGTTCATAATTTAAATAATTCTCTGATTTGTCACCAGACTGCGGATTGGCTCGTGTCCATGTTCGAAAAAGAAGGGAAATCGTTGGACGGATCCGGAATCCGCGCCATGTTGACAGCCTGGTGCAGCATGACGCTCATGGGTTGCCAAACCCCGCATTCCTCCAAACATTTGGCAGACAGGATCGTGTCAATTGTCGGGGCCTATGCTGACTGCGACGACGCGTCTGTTGTGGAGAACCCCGGGGGATTTGGCATGTTGCAGGACAAGGCCTGGGTCACACCTGCCACCTTGGCCCTCTGCGGGTTCCTGGATAAAATGTCCGACTCGGGGTCGATCATTGTCAACAGGTTCCTATTTGTTATTTCTTTTTTACAGAAAAAATATATATTGAATGAAAATGCAGGAAACGAATTTCAAGAGTCCCATAAAAGCATTCAGTACAACAAAGATGCATAAAGGAAAGTCGATTGAAAAAAAAACGCTTCTACTTTGACCAGTTTTACATTAAAACGTTCAAATTTTATAACAAAAAGAAAAGAAAATGACAATTAAAGTGGCATAGTTTTACCTCTTCTTTTGTTCGAAATTCACTGCGAAGACTCGTCAGGAATTCTGAAATTTGATGCCATTCATTTCCGGATTTTAAATTTCATGCTGAAAGCATAAAATATTTTTTGCTGGAAATTTCCAAGTTATTCACGAAAATCGCATTCTGGAATTATTCCGAATTTTAATTTTGGAGTCTGATTTTTTATATTTTTTGGTCAACTGTGTTTGAAAAAGAAGAAAAAAATTAATGCACAAAAATAAAACATTTTATATGCAGAAAATTTTGTACATGATTAAAAATCAGTTACGTTATGGATATCTTCTGAAGCTGAAATAAAGTTTGTGCCATTTGCAGTTTATATATTAGAGGTTCAAAAAACATTTCTCCCAAGAGTAATTGACAAACGTTTTTTAGAGGTTGAACATATACAGACTTGAAATAAATACTGAACATTTAAACAAAACGGCATTTGAAGAACAATTTAACTTTCACTCTTATTCAAGCCAAAATTATTATTTCAGCTTCTGTAGGTTTTTGTTTTTTTCGCTTTGAAATACGGGTTCAAGTAGTTCTTGTCAAGTCTGAGTATCTACAAATTAAGGACAACTTCGTGTTTATGGTATGTCATGAACAATTTTTCTGTGGATAATAAAAAAGGGGGGGGAGGGCTCATATCATTCATTTCCATTCTTCATGCATGACTGGATGTCACGATGTGTCAATTGAAAATTGTTTCTCGCATCTTCGAATTCTCTTCAGACTGAAGAGAATTTTGCCGCTGTCCCTGAAGGAAAATGCACCTTTCTACGTGACACCGAGTATCACGGACATTGAGTCCAAGGTTTGCGTGCAAATTGGGCTTCCTTGCTTTTTGCATGGAACTCTGATTATCGGTAAAATCGGACAAGTCGGTGTTGATACTTTGAGCAAGTGAGTTTTAAAATCTCGTCACAACAAATTCATTTCCTGAATTCATCCATTACTAGTCAGAATCTCCTTTAAGGTTTTTTTTTTCAGATTCGTTTCGAATGAAGAAATTTTATTTTTTGGGGGTTCTGAAAAGAGAAAGATTGCAGTGCAGTATTTAAATTGAATTACTGTATATATTTTTTTCCATGCAGGTCAATCGTGAAGTCAATTAATGTGCAGACGAATTTGGCGCGATATTTGATGCTGAAATACGTGAAGATGAAGAATGATGCTCATTTGCCGCCGAAATATGTCCGGAAAGTTGTGCAGGTTTTTTCGCAAAAACTGGCTCCGGAAATTCCGAGGTTCATCAGCAACATTGAGGTTCAACATCATTTATTTTCTGAATATTTTGTGTAATTCGTAAAAACAAAAAGAAATGGTGTTTTATGAAATTTGCCACTTTTTATATTTATATTCATGTTTCAAAACTTGATGTAACACTCATTCATCTCGATAAAAAATTCGTGTGAATTTAGGTTTTTTTTTTAGAAATTTCACAATTCGTAAAACAAAAAATCACTTTTGGTCCATTTTAAAATTTGCATTGTATTTTTTTCTTGATTGAAATCCAAAAAAATTATATTCTTCCATCATATATCATTCCTCGCACCCATTGGCGGATTTGTAAACGGCGTGCAAGACTTCGGAGAAAGTATTTTCACACGAAGCCTTGGAAATCGACAGACAAACATTTATATTCGAAATTGCGATCTGTGCTCATCTCTGCCATTTCTGCTGGAATTGAGTGAAAGCGTTGTTTTTTAACAGGCTGTTTTCAACTTTAAACGTGTAAAAAAAAAAGGCGAGAAGAGCATTTTAGAGGCATGTTTTGTGAATATTTCTTTCTCCACCCAGTGCGAAAATTTACCGAGGAAACGAAAGGCGGATCCGAGCACTGAACACGCCAGGGTTCGCAAGATGGCTAAGAAATATTCCGACATGATTTTCGGCGTCGAGAGATACGAGCAAGTTTTGCTGCAGCTCTCGAAAAAGTGTCACGTGCGTTCTTTCGTTTTATCATTTTCGTCTACTGTATTTATATTCTCGAAAATTTTCTGAAATGTTTTAATTGATTCTTATCGCGACTCGAATTTTCAATTGATCATCAGGTGAATTTGTTGGAAGGCGCGAGGTTGCCGACAGCCAGAGATTTCAAGATTGATCGCAATGTGCTGTTGGAAGAGCTCGGGGATCAAGTGGAAGCTGAAGATGATGAGGCACCAAATTTGAGTGTGGTGAGTTATTGAAAGGCGAGAAGAAAATTAACTTATTATTTGCGCAACAACAAAAAATGAGACGCCAAAATTAAAAGTACGTACGAATTTTTGCGCGCATTGAAATTGAATGACAAATTTACGCTGTGAATATAAAAAAGCGTTTGAAAAGCAGAGGAGTCCGTTGATCCTGTTGAAGTGCGAGCGGAAAAATACCCATTCTCGCAGAAAAATGAGACATCGCAGATCAAAAGAAGAACGCTTATGTTTTTCTTGTGTTTGTCATGAATTCAAAAAGAAATTTCTGCAGTGAATGTGAAATCAAGAGATTTCTATAATTGATCCTGTGTACGTGCTTATCGTTTGCCTGATCAATCTGCCGAAACGCTTCCAACAAAAGCCAGATTTTTAATTTTTGAAATTGAAATGGAAACCCTGCCTAATTTGAATTTTTTAGACTTAATTTTTTTCGTGCAAATGTATATACAAGGATCTCAAATTTGAAGCCCAGCATGATTTTTAAAGCTAATTTTTGCTGCTTAATTGATTTGACATAGACATTCAAGTAATTTTGTTTTCAATTAAGAAGGATCTCAACGCTTTGACGAAATTGTGTTGAATATTGAATGTTTCTTAAATTTTTTTTTACAGCCGACTACATCAAATTCTCAGGCTGAGGAAGAAGCTGTTGCAGAAACTCCATTGCCGCAGGCGAAGAAGAGGAAGACGTTGGGACCAAAAAGGAAGAAGACCATGACTGCTACTGCGAGTGGTAAAAAATGACGAATGAAAGATAAATCGTTTCTTTTCTTTTTGCGCAAAAATTCTGGCGTTGATCCTCAAAAAGTGAAAGCATTCGATGAGAAATGTAAAGTTTGATATTTTTTCTTACTTTTTTTCAATTTGGCTTCAAAATACAAGAGTTTTTTGTCCGCAGTCCATTTTTTTCACTTTTTTTGCGCGGTATATTAAAAGGAAAGCCCAGATCATTCCCAGTTTTTTTTTTCTGCGTAATTTTTAGATCATTCCAATTTGAAGAAATTCACTGCTGACCTGATTTTTGCAAGCGTGGCGATCGAAGATGGCCACCAATGCTCTTCCATTTATTCATGACCAAGCTTTTCTTAGTGACGATTTTCACAATTTATTGCATGGTCTGATTGTGTTAGAAATAGAACCCATGCTTTCTTCAAGTCTGATACAGTGATACTCTTTTTTACAGATCAAAATTGTTTGTAAAATGCGAGTGTGGATGAGTGGAAGGGAAACTTTCTTTTATTCAAACTCCATTACGTGAACTCATGTGACGAAAAGTGCAAGCGAAGAACTTCCAAAATTGATGCTTGGGTTTTCAAATGGAATGGTATTGGAAGCATTTGGTTTCAATCTTCTGGCACAATTTTCCGTCCATGAAGTTTTACAACATTCATCAATGCAGCCAACCTTTTAGCTTGGAAATTGCATTGAAACTTTTATGATTCATCAACAACTAGGATATTTTTCCTGTAAACTATTAACTCTCAGCTGAAGAAGTGGAAAAGCCATGCTCAGGTTATTAAAAGATTGCCAAATTGAATTTCTCAAAGGTTTTTGTTTTTGTGGAAGATATTGGCACTTGGACAAGAGGAGTGCATGATCCTGTACTCACCATTCCCCTGAGGATTTAAAAAAAAAAATGCCCAATGGGTTTCTCAAGAAGAACGCGGTTTCTCCCCCTCCCACAAGAGAGCGACACCTAGACGACATTTCTGGCGTAAGGAAAAATGTCCATGTCTTCCACCCAAACCTCCATCAACATTAACCAATGGCAGCAGAGTTGATGGAAGGACATCAAAATGTAACATTTCAGCTCTAGCTGTTGACCTATCAGGTTGTTCTGACTATTTATTTTTATATGTTGTGTTACTTATGAAATCATATATGTGCTTGTGGAGAGAAATTTTTCCTGATTTCTTCCTTATTGAAGGCATGCGTGAGGCTATGAAGTGGACGCTGGGAATAATTTTGGGCAGAAATACCGTATCTTTAATCGAAGACGAAGTGATTGATATCAAGAGTTCGGAGAAACAGGTCATTTTTCTTTCAGGAAGAAGGTTTAGAAGGTTTGCATTTTTTCCCCTGCGTGATTACTAACGATGAAGCCTCAGTTTTCTCATCCCAAGTTGCGCAGTGGTCGGAACGAGGTGAATTCACTCGAGCCTGACCTACACTAACACGACATAGCGAATGATTCCAACTGTCTCATTCGCTAGCGTTAGTGGAATGCACTTAGCAGAGAATTTCAGTTCCAGGGCTAGGTGGGCTCCAATCCTAACGCGGAGCATCGAAATGCCGATTTTATTCTCGGTTGTGGCGTGGGGTCCGTACGTACTTGCCAAATACGCATCGTTCGTTGGTAATTTTCAGGAAGTGACCGATCAGATTTTGCCGTGCATCGCACCAGACGACTCCAAGCTCACATACTCTCATGGCAACTTCCTCATTCAATACATCGCATAAGATGGCATCGTTTACCTTCGGATCACCGACGACGTGAGGGTTGATTGATACTTGCTTGATTGTTTTTTGATCTTTCAAGAGCATTTGCGTTTCATTGGGATTGTGAGCGCTCACGTGCTTTCTGTTCCTTGGCGAGATCAAGAAGCGGTTCAAGTTACATATGGGCCTCAGGTGCTCACTACGTTGCCCTTTGCCATGAATTCTGAGTTTTCTCGGGTTTCGGTGAACGAAATGGTATGTCAATTTTGTCGTTTTCGAAAATAATCGTAGAATTTTGGTTTATATGTTTTTCTTTATCTGTCAGAAACATTGTTCTGAATCAAAAGACGCGGACACGATTTCGAAATTCTACGGGGAATTAGATGAGCTGAAGGAAATTATGGTTCAGAACGGCGGTTGGTAATCCTGTGCGTTTTCTGAGAATTTCTGGCACTCTGGCACCGTTTGTTTTTGTTTCTTTTTTGCAGATAGTCTCGCACATAGGGAAGAACGGTTGGAGCTGCCTGTGAACGTGTTCTTCTGTGAGGCTTGGTCTACGATTAAATTGTTAAATTTCGTAGGTTTTTTTTTTCGAATTAAAAACAAAGGCTTATTTTATGCTAATACACTGATGGTTTTTTTTTCACATGTTTGAGCTCTTACCTTTATAAAATTTAATTTATTCCACCGTAAATGCTTTTCATTACCGACGTGGACGATGAAAAGATTGAACCTCTTGACAAATTTTGATAACTGTGATTCGATTTTATAAATCTTTGTGCTTCGGGAATTTAAGGGTTACATTTGAAACTATGGTACTGAAGCTGTATGACTAGACAGCTTTAGAGAGAGATTTCAGTATAACGTTATGTAAACAAATCCCTCGTCCCGAAAATTTAGATTCGCTTGTTCGGAAATCCTTCAACTTTTTGGTCTTCTTCATGAAAATAAAAAGTCCAGTTTTCTGTCTTGTGACCTTAAAAGTACTTTCAGATAGAAATTCGTATTTCATTTGAAAATATCAGTATTTTCTGTTTAATTGTTGGATGATTGCTGTTGAATTGCGTCCTGATGTTTTAATTCAGTCTGTTGCCTTATTAACGACAAGCCGGAATCTCCGTCAGGCCATGTGGTGGAAAAGCATGAAAGTAACCATCTTCATCACTCTCCTTGTTGACGTAAGTGTTTTCATTAATGTCTTGCAGACATGGTTTAATTTTTTTTTTTGGGGATGGGGGTGAAAATGGGAACTTCAGTTTCTTGATTTTTTTTTTAGGTAAAGAAGCTGGAACTTCTTTACTTCGCGTCTCCTTCGTGTCGTGCAGGTGTTAGATCGAGGTATGCAGTTTTCTGAGGTTAAACTTTGTTCAACTTTTTTTGAGTTGAACAGGATTTTGGATGGAGGCAACTTCTGTTTGAAGTTTAGATTTCAGAAGTGCCTGTCAGGGGTCCTGAGACCTCAATGACATATACTTTTTTTTGTGGAATAATGTTGTGCACACAAAGGGCCATTTGTGGCCTGAGGTTAGAATCTCACAAACAGTCCGTTTTTCTTATTTCCAATGAGTCCAATAAGTAATAAAACATAATAACTTGATGAACACAGTCTTGCGGTTCAAGTTTGAATGTGATCTTTTCCTCAAGCCTCAGGTCCATTCCTAAGGAAAAGTTCCTGAAGGTTGTTGAGGATTCTTCTGTGCTCGTAATTCTGAGTTAACCTTTGATGAGGTTTACTCAGATGGTGTTGGTCCTTATGGAATATTTCATGAAGGTTCATCTTTGTGAAATGTTCAGTTTGATAGTTTTGAGTGTTATATAAAAATGTTTTCTATAATGTTCTGTGTTGTTCTGCACTATGCGGTGTACTGTTAAATGTTGCTATCAACATCTATTCTACTAGTGGACATGGGTCTTGTCTTGGGTGACATCCAGTCAACTGGTGACAATGCCAATCCACTATAATTGAGTTATCTGGGAACAAACTTTGCAGCATTTTCTTTGAATTTTTCCCCAAAAAAGTGCTTTCTTGGATCCTACCCTGTGAACTCCCTCCCATCCAGCCTCAGAGACGCTCTTCCCCATTCCTGTTTCCCAATGTTCTGACTTTGAAAATTGTCAAGCATTCAATATTTAATCTAACTTGCTTTTAAAAACTGCATTAAATGTGCCACAATCTTTTTCACATTTCCCCTTTTTACATTTTGAAAAATGGTGAAAATTGACAACTACCATGACAACTCAAGAATGTGTTTGAAAGTTGTGCAAAAATTGGAGGAGAAAGCTTTTTTTATTTGTAACTGATCTAATTCTCAACAGTTCTCAATCCACAAAATATGTAAATATGTTGAACATCTATGGGCATGCAACCCCACACAAAATTTCTCAATTTAATAAAAATTGAGAAAATTTGAGTTCATAAAATATTTTCCTTGTCAAAACTACCGTCTGGCTTATTTTCTTGCTGAATCTGGAAAGTTGTCCTGTCAATTTAATTCACTATTGTCTGAAGTTTAGAGTAAAAAAAAATGTTGAAAACCCTCAGATATCCTCTGTCAACTTCAAGAATCTGATGGCCTCTTGTCTTGGGTAAACTGTTCTTCAACCAAATTGCTGGAAAGTCTGAACTTTCTGAGATAATTATAGCAGAAGTTGACATTTTGGGCGGACAGTTCTTTCACAAAAAAAGTGGTTGCTTTTACTTGGTGTTTCACCCAGTAGGAGTTGCCCTGTGCACTGCTCATTTCATGGGAAATCCTACCCCCTAAGTCTGTCATGCACCTGCTAGCAGGAGGGATTTAAAGGGACAGGAAGTGAACCAGTGCAGGGACAGAATGGTGCAGAGTTCAGAGGTGGGCAGTTTGGCTCCAGCAAGAATGACATCCATCCTATGGAGAAACTATCAGGACAAAAAATTCATTATAAGAAAAAATTATTGTCATGAGATTCATTGTCATGGAATTCAACTTGCTGTATCTATGTGTAATCAAATTCCAGCCTCAGTGACCCTTTGTTGAAATTATATTTTTACTTCTGTAAGGAAAAATTCACTTTTCCTTTTTGCAAAGGAAAATTAGGTCCATTTTTGTGCAGCATAAGGCCACAATGTGGTGTAATCCACATTGTGGATTTATGGCCCAAGTGTGTTATGGAAGAGGCTGTTGAAGTTGAAGAAATTGTATGGCAGATTGTCGAGACTACAAGATATTTGGAGCTGGAAGCAGATGATTCAGAGGAGCTGATAGAAGAGCATGCGGAGGAGCTGATGGAAGAACATGCAGAGGAGCTTACAATGGTAGAGCTGAATGAATTGAACAAGAGGAAACAGAGAAAGCTATTTCTTCAGGGGAGGAGGAAGAAAACAACACAAAAGGACCCATGCCGAATGCTCCAATGGAAGAAGTTTGTAGAGATGGGAAAATTGTATGGACACTGTCATGAAATGGCATCTGGACAAGACAGAGGTCAACAGAACTAGAGACATTTTCAACTCTGCATTCATTAGGCATTTCAGGAAGCTTCTGAAGTGTAGCAAAAGCAGCAGTACTAACTGTTCAAGAAAACTGGTGTTAGACATTTTTTAACTTCTGGAGACTGTAACTTCTTGGAAGTCTTTTTTACTTCCGTGAGGGTAACGACTTCCTCTACCCGTCGGACGAAGGTTGACCTTTCAAATTTGGATGAGTTCCAAGTCATCAAAGTACTGCACATAAGAACAGATGTTTGAATAAGTCTGTGTGAAGGACTGACTAAAAAGCCTGAAGAATTTGTCTGAAAACATGTTTTGAATACAAAGTTGTTACTTCACCACCCTCTCTGGCACCCTTCATTGTGGTCTCCTGTCTTGTTGATCTCTTCAGTGAGTTTCTTTTGTATTGTCTTAGGAATTTTACTTGGAATTTAGGCGTAGTAAGAATTTTAGAAACACATTTTCCCAATTTTCATGGGCTTTTTCAAGATTCTGGAACCAATTTAGATTATTCTTGTACTCCCTCAAGGGAAAACGTGATTTAACTGGCAAACTATTCAGCTAACAAAATTTGACTTGCACAGAGATGCCAAAGGCCAAATTTTATGTAAAAAATATTGCATTTGACATTTTCTTGCCATTCAACTGCTTCAAAATTTGACCCTAGCCCAGCAATGGATTAGGGTCAAATTGCAGGGTACCACCTGTGCTGCAATCCCTGGCAAATATAAAAATACAATGTACTGCATTTGTGCAGCTTTCGGTTTATCAACAAAGAATGGATTCCGTAGGTATCCTGTTGTTGGTTTACTGATGCCCAACTGAGGGCAAGTTCAGCCCTCACTACAGCTTTTCTGACTTTTTGTTTTGGTGGGGCATGGTTTTTTTAATTTGACTTCTTTTTAGGCATTCTAAGTAGGGTATAAATTGGAGTGACAAAGTATGACATTGAGTTATACACTGTCCTGTGTGTGTGTAACATAGGGACATCTGTGTACTCAAGTTTTATTTTCCTCCTGAAGTGTTTTCATACAAGGTACTCACAGCAAACATACCCTCTGTGTAGCCTTTGTGATGGATTATGCACTTTTATACTTGAAAGTGAGTCATTCAAAGTGAAGGTAGCATTTCCTGGATGCCCTAGTTGCATCCAAAAGTCTTCAGCAACAAGCACCCTTTTGCATGAACTCCATAAAGTGTGAATGCACCTCAATGCATTAACCCTTTTAAAGTCTACATTCTTCACAGGTAATTCTGTTGAGTGTTGGATATAGCAGTACCATGCCAAAAAACCCCTTAGAGAGCTCCAAGAAAGTGAAAGATAATTTGGCCCANTGGCCTCTTGTCTTGGGTAAACTGTTCTTCAACCAAATTGCTGGAAAGTCTGAACTTTCTGAGATAATTATAGCAGAAGTTGACATTTTGGGCGGACAGTTCTTTCACAAAAAAAGTGGTTGCTTTTACTTGGTGTTTCACCCAGTAGGAGTTGCCCTGTGCACTGCTCATTTCATGGGAAATCCTACCCCCTAAGTCTGTCATGCACCTGCTAGCAGGAGGGATTTAAAGGGACAGGAAGTGAACCAGTGCAGGGACAGAATGGTGCAGAGTTCAGAGGTGGGCAGTTTGGCTCCAGCAAGAATGACATCCATCCTATGGAGAAACTATCAGGACAAAAAATTCATTATAAGAAAAAATTATTGTCATGAGATTCATTGTCATGGAATTCAACTTGCTGTATCTATGTGTAATCAAATTCCAGCCTCAGTGACCCTTTGTTGAAATTATATTTTTACTTCTGTAAGGAAAAATTCACTTTTCCTTTTTGCAAAGGAAAATTAGGTCCATTTTTGTGCAGCATAAGGCCACAATGTGGTGTAATCCACATTGTGGATTTATGGCCCAAGTGTGTTATGGAAGAGGCTGTTGAAGTTGAAGAAATTGTATGGCAGATTGTCGAGACTACAAGATATTTGGAGCTGGAAGCAGATGATTCAGAGGAGCTGATAGAAGAGCATGCGGAGGAGCTGATGGAAGAACATGCAGAGGAGCTTACAATGGTAGAGCTGAATGAATTGAACAAGAGGAAACAGAGAAAGCTATTTCTTCAGGGGAGGAGGAAGAAAACAACACAAAAGGACCCATGCCAAATGCTCCCATGGAAGAAGTTTGTAGAGATGGGAAAATTGTATGGACACTGTCATGAAATGGCATCTGGACAAGACAGAGGTCAACAGAACTAGAGACATTTTCAACTCTGCATTCATTAGGCATTTCAGGAAGCTTCTGAAGTGTAGCAAAAGCAGCAGATGATTGACAAGTTCTTTTGACCACAATCTGTAAAAAATTGAAGACCTCTGACATTGAAGAACCTTCAGAAAAAATGAAGGCACTCCCATTGCTGAAGGAGATGGGCAGCCTGCTTCCAACTGGAAAAAAATTGGGATGAGTTCCAAGTCATTAAATTACTGCACAGAAGAACAGATGTTTGAATAAGTCTGTGTGAAGGACTGACTAAAAAGCCTGAAGAATTTGTCTGAAAACATGTTTTGAATACAAAGCTGTTACTTCACCACCCTCTCTGGCACCCTTCATTGTGGTCTCCTGTCTTGTTGATCTCTTCAGTGAGTTTCTTTTGTATTGTCTTAGGAATTTTACTTGGAATTTAGGCATAGTAAGAATTTTAGAAACACATTTTCCCAATTTTCATGGGCTTTTTCAAGATTCTGGAACCAATTGAAATTATTCTTGTACTCCCTCAAGGGTAAACGTTATTTAACTGGCAAACTTTTCAGCTAACAAAATTCGACTTGCACAGAGATGCCAAAGGCCAAATTTTATGTAAAAAATATTGCATTTGACATTTTCTTTCCATTCAACTGCTTCAAAATTTGACCCTAGCCCAGCAATGGATTAGGGTCAAATTGCAGGGTACCACCTGTGCTGCAATCCCTGGCAAATATACAAATACAATGCACTGCATTTGTGCAGCTTTTGGTTTATCAACAAAGAATGGATTCCGTAGGTATCCTGTTGTTGGTTTACTGATGCCCAACTGAGGGCAAGTTCAGCCCTCACTACAGCTTTTCTGACTTTTTGTTTTGGTGGGCATGGTTTTTTTTAATCTGACTTCTTTTTAGGCATTCTAAGTAGGGTATAAATTGGAGTGACAAAGTATGACATTGAGTTATACACTGTCCTGTGTGTGTGTGTAACATAGGGACATCTGTGTACTCAAGTTTTATTTTCCTCCTGAAGTGTTTTCATACAAGGTACTCACAGCAAACATACCCTCGGTGTAGCCTTTGTGATGGATTATGCACTTTTATACTTGAAAGTGAGTCATTCAAAGTGAAGGTAGCATTTCCTGGATGCCCTAGTTGCATCCAAAAGTCTTCAGCAACAAGCACCCTTTTGCATGAACTCCATAAAGTGTGAATGCACCTCAATGCATTAACCCTTTTAAAGTCTACATTCTTCACAGGTAATTCTGTTGAGTGTTGGATATAGCAGTACCATGCCAAAAAACCCCTTAGAGAGCTCCAAGAAAGTGAAAGATAATTTGGCCCACAATTTTTTTCTTGGAATATCTATCAAGGAAGGAAAGAATGATTGCTAACAACATCTGATTTGAGTTTAGGATCAAAAATAGATGAACATGCTGCTTGATCATATTTGAGTTGTTCATAATTTTTGTGGGTAGAATTTTAGTGAGATTTCCTGTGTTATTACCATATTTGAGAATAAAACCTTGCTGAGAGAAAAGAAGCATTGGCAGTTTATAAAGTGAGAACAGATTTGCTGCACAAGAAATGTGGAGGGCAGCCATAACAAAGATATTTTCTAACATTGTTTCGAAGACTGCCATAAGCTTTGATCTTGGTTTTTCCATAACCTCTGTGGAGCCCATCAAGCATTCAAAATATGAAGGATGGGATAAGCATCCCTGCTTCTATTTGTAAAGCAACACCAGGATATCCAATTCAGGTATGTGGAAGCACAAAATATCAGCCCCTGTGCTATTGTATCCTTCCCCTTCCTGACACTCATTTTTCACAAGAGATCAGTTCTGTGTTTGCCTTTTCTTATTTGAGAACATTGTTGAATCTACTGATGCAATTGATAGTAGAGACAGGTATGGGTGGAACCCTTCATTTTGACCCTAATCTCTTGCTGGGTGAAGATCAAATCGTGAAGTTGCTGAATTGAAAGGCAATGTCAAATGCAATGTTTCATTCACCTAATTGATGTTTTATATCTCTCAACAGGTCAAACTGTGGGGCCGAGGTCAAATTGCAAGTCAACATTACAGCACATTTGTCAGTCAAGTGGCAGAAAGGTTGAATTGCAGGATGCTGAATTGCAAGTTACCATCCAGGAATTGCTATTTCAGATATGTTTTAAAAATGTTGCTGTCATTCCACTGAAATACTTTGGACCATGTTCATAGATTCAATGCTTGGATCATGTTCATAGATTCAATGCTTGGATCATGTTCATAGATTCAATGCTTGGATCATGTTCATAGTTTCAATGCTTAGATCATGTTCATAGATTCAATGCTTGGATCATGTTCATAGATTCAATGCTTGGATCATGTTCACAGATTCAAGGCTTGATCATGTTTGTAAATCTGTCTTATGCATTCACTAGATTGGCAAATAGGCAGTGCTTGGATGTTGGAACCCTCTCAGCAACTTGCTTTATCCCATCAGTGGTGTTTTGTGTTCAGAGATTGATTATCTTGGAATCTTTCAGTGCAGGATTCCTCTTCTTCACAAGTTCATGTTTGTGGAAAGCTTTAGAAGATCTTGCAAATGGAAAGTATGAGCCCAAGAAATTTTATTGGTGCATTGTGGGATGAAAGCTCTCTGAAATTTTGCAACCAGTTCTGGAAAAAATCATCCCAGGGTAACACTGTCCATGTGAGGGGTATTCTTTATATCCATGGAATTCAAGGTTGATTGAATTTGACAAATTTGTCTGAGCTAGAACAAATTACTGCTTTTGAAATTTAACCTTTAAAAAACAAGATTTATTTTGTAAAACTGCATTCCCCCTTGATATATCTCAAGTGTGATCATATTCATGAAGTGTTTTGACAAATTTGTCTGAGCTAGAACAAATTACTGCTTTTGAAATTTAACCTTTAAAAAACAAGATTTATTTTGTAAAACTGCATTCCCCCTTGATATATCTCAAGTGTGATCATATTCATGAAGTGTAGTATTAATGTGATACAATATGAATGTGCGTGTGGTTGATGCTTTGCGAATTTAAATGAATGGGTAGAGAAAGATATTAAATCTTCCTAAATAATGTGTCTGCTATTGTGATGCCTGTGAAAGGAGGTGATACCAATTGTAATGAGACACTTATATTCAGGAATGTTCATGCAATGCTCCCTAAGGTACCTCCACCTAAGTTGCATTCATAAATTCAGAAGTCAAAAAAGGGTTCAATGGGACAAGAATGTGAATCCAAGCAAAGTTTCATGGGGATTTGGTCTGAAAGCCATCCACATCTAAGGCAACTGTGATCAGAATTGGCAGCAAAATGAGCACTTCATCATCCAGGTAATCTTTCAAGTCTGTGTTTATGTTCACAGGAATGTTTTGTTCAGTCATTGGTTACCTCTCCTGTAAGTACAAATTCTGAGTGACTTTTAATCCCCAATCCTGCAAATTGATATTTTGTGAATGCAGTTGAAGACATCTTGTTGGTTACCAGTAGCCATTACAAGAGGTAAGTAAAATCTGGGATTCAGGAATAAAACTGGAAACCTGGTTGTTGTTCCTTTTGATTTATTTTTGGAATTTGTCAGATCTTAGTTTCAGTGGAGATGCTGCCAAATGTGTAAATGTGTATTGTTTAAAATGTATGCCTTTCTTTCAAATAAACAGGGTGTTGGAAAATGTCCCTCTATTTGAAATAGCAGGCATTTATGAGTCAAGAAGTTGATTATGAAGGTAGTTCAGTATTTCTAAGTTTAATTTGGTTTCGTTTTATTTTTGAAGACAAGTAACACTTCAGTTCAAAGGTAGGTTTAATGAAAAAATCTTCATTTTTGAAATTTTCTCT